CTGTTACACGGTCAGAATAATCCTAGACTGTTTTTGCTGCCGGATCATTAAGCGACAGTCATTCAAGCACTTTGCAATCGTAAATTCTAGGATGGTTAAAATGTATAAAACGAGTTTTTTTCTCAATTATAATTCCTAACATTAACATGCTAGGCGTTGTTTTGGTGACATCATTTCGATTCAGTGAGACAAAGTAATTTAATCTGTCCTACTACTTGTACTTGGAAACGAAAACCACTGAAGTGAAAACACAAAAGCTGATGCAATTAACTTTTATTGACTGTCCAGTCATTTACATACTGATTTTACTCATTGTATACATGAAAACATATACAGCATCACTGTAAAATATGAAGTTCACATAGAAGAATTCAAAAAATATGATTTCCACATTGGACGACAGTTCACAACTATCATACTGAACAAAATCCACACTTGATATAAAATATACCGAGCTGAAATAATGTTACCCTAAAAAATACAGCCATAATATCAAACTCACTAAAATGTTACACTGAGAATGAAAGCAATCTGTTACACTGAAAACGAACTTTTACCAAACTAAGTAAGATTTTACGCTGAGAATGCAATCAACTTCAAGCTATAACATTGGGAATAAAACTAATATCATGAAATGTTTTATTGAAGTAGCGAAAACCAGCGAATTTGCCTTCTTGTCCCAATTTATCAAAGGGTAATAATGTTTGTTGTTCATAGATATTCTTCATTATAGTACATTTTTTACTACCCTATCAATTCCCATGACAGTTAAAACCAATCTTCGATTGATGATGAAAACCATAGGCAAGAAATAAGATTGTTAGTATGCACAATATTTAACTGTGTAACAGGAATGTATTACGAATTTGTAGACAGTAAACTTAAACAAGATAGGATATTTGCCAATATTACACTTAAAAACATACTTCAGTGCTCTAAGGTAAACTACACCAATCGTTATTTGTTGACCATTGCTTGTAAACAAGAAAATTCGAATTGAGATGAGTAATTTTTTTAGAAATTCAGAACATTTCAAGGCTGAAATAAAATTAATAATTGAAGATAAACTTCTCAGAATGAGTCTTTCCACAGATTTCGAAAGCATCAGTACATTTTACAATAAACAACTAAAATGAAATGAAATTAAATGGGACGAAATTGGTGTACAAGTTTATCAGAGAATTAAATGCTCTTAACACAACAAGTTTCCAGTTTAAATACTTCAGTTTAATATTTTCCTCCAATCTGTTTGATGTTTTGATAGGAGATATTATGTTGATGTTGATTTTTGACCTAACACACTAAACAGTATGGATATTAAAAATTCATAAGTTATGCATCTTTTTGCCTGCGCTTACTTTGAAATTATCAAGATTGTGAGATTATCAACCCCAAGTTTCTTTAATTGGTTTTCAAAGTTAAATCAGATAGTCAGATAAAAATGGTCTAGAGTTATCAATTTACATTATTTTTAAATCTGTTAGTTTCAACATCATCAGATTGTGCTTAGCTTTTTGTGAGTTAAAACATGCTACTTAATAATAGTAAGTAGCTCAAAGCTCATTTAGATATTTTCACAACATGCGTCCTCCAATCGGTTGCGCTCCAGCAGAGTTCATTATGTCCATTTATATCACCCTTCTGTTACGCTCGTATGCTCGTATGCTTGTACTAGTACGAGTTCACCTTAGTCAAATAACGAGAACAAAACAATGAACCAGCGTCCAGGTAGTCCACTGTGATCCCTTGACCCAATTGTACCAGCAAAAAGTCTTAATATGGCGTAGACGTGTTTTCTACAAACATCCAGCCAGCACACAATGAATCCAAGCACTCAAATTGCGTTTATTTATAGTCTATAGAGATGCCCTTGGGACAGTCACAAAAACAGCACACTAAAATGACACAGTAACCAATCACAGCCAAGGATTTTCCTGGTGGGAAATGTAATCTCAAGGTCAACCGATCGGTCGATGAAATAAATTCGAAATAACGATATTTATCAAGCCGATCTAACATACCCAACACCTTCAGACATTTACTTTATTGTTTTCCTGCAAGTTTTAGTTTTTTACTGATTCATTTTTTTTTCTCCATGCACACTATTTAATGAATATTTATTTATCTTGAATAATTTCCCTCATTTTTCCAAATTTATACCCTGAAGTAATCAAGTTAAAATTAATTACGGCAGTGCATGCCATTTTGAATAACTACTAAATCGATATTATTAAAAATTTAAGGGTTTTCCCATCTGTAAAGAGAGGCGAGTGTGTGAAGCCTTTCACATATTACTAAATCCCTCTACCCTTAATAGGAAAGAAGGCCTGACTTATTCATCTAACCTACACCGTTTATCCAAACAACCACACTCGACTCTGTTCATTTGCTACACAAACCTACACAAACATAAGACTTTTGTCGTTTTCACCTCCACTATTTCATATCACAAAATGTGTATTTTTCCTACTCGCCTTCATATATACAAATAAACACTTTGGGGTCTAGCACAGAATCACCTTGACCAAAAATGACATGACATCAAACTGATCAGAGATATTGAAGTTTCGACTGTACCAAAGATATTCTGCTTTGTTTCTTTTAAACCATTTAAACTTGTATGAATTTATTTCGGTAAATAACTAATTTACTCTGACGAAGTGACTTGGATTAAGTCACGAAACGTCACAATTACGGGTTTTTTTTTCATTGACATATCATCAAAACATAATTATTTTATTATCACTGCCATGTCGCTGTTATCATTCTCCGTCTTTCTGAAGAGTTTTAGGCACATGATGATTTTAAAAAAAAACTTGTAGGATTTATAGCTTTGCATAAGAAATATATTATACATAGAGAAATCGGAATTATTCCGTGCAAATTCATTTTGACTAAAATTCTTTATTCTATTTTGACGTTAATCAAACAAAGAAACATTAGACAACTTTTTACTAGTAAATTCATTAAATCTCTATAAATTGTTCAATGGTCAACAGAAATTCTCTACTTACAGCTTAGCATAAAAGAAATCATTTATTGAAAAGAGTAGAATTATTTTTTAAAAAACGTAGTCAATACTTTCACATTCAATGAATTAATAATATATCGAATTTTGATGATAAATTATTTCAGGAGTGTAATACTAACTATTTACTAGTCTTTGAGGATAAACTATTAATGAGGAGAGTGTACTTCATTTCAACTGTTTCTCTTAGGTCTATCATTTGAACAGATCTGATAGTACCTCAGTGTCTATGATTTATTTGAAGAAATTTTTCGTATTTCAGTGTGTATTTATTTCCATCATTTACGCTCAAACTGCTAATACCTTCATGAAGAAGTCAATATGATCATTTTTTCCATTCCTCAAAGATTCACTACTTTTTGCTGAAGCTCACAAGGGGAAAATTACTTGAATTAGAGCAATTTTAACTTTTAATATCATATGAGAGCTACATTAACTGTTACCTACTGCTACTATCGGTGATCGAATTGTCCTATTGATAATTTGTCATATTGTTTCATTCAATTTAGTGACCATATTGAAAACTAAAGTTTACTCAATGCTAACGAGTGAACATTTGGAGATTTGTTAATTACCGATGATTGTTTAATGAGAACATCTCAATCTAAATAGGTAAGTATTAGGTTTCCTGATCACAATATCGGATAACGAGAATGTCAGTCTACAGACTAACATGATTACTTTTAAGAGTGCAGGAAAATCTTATTGATGGTAGACAAATGAAGTCAGTTGCATTCAATTGATTGTTTCCAATTATATCAACATACATCAGTGAACCAAATAGTTAATGTATATTTATTTTAGAAGAAGAAATTTACATACGTGTGTGTTCAAAGTTAATAATGTAGGCACTTGTTAAATTTCATTGTTATTCTGCCTGCCTATAAGGAAATGTAATACGTGGCTATGAATGTTATGTAAAAGTCCAAAAAATTACTATTGTTACATAGATATTTTTAGACAACATAGATTAAAAAACATTTGCATTCCAGCAATTAAAAACAAAATTATTTTATTTTCCTACATAAAAATGGAAGAAAAGATTGTGCAGTTTGTTGATTACAAATGATTACTTCAAAACAGTCATTTAATTACATATTTTCGCTGTAGAATTTTTTTTATTCATTAATAAAACGTTTCCTTAATTTTTTATTTAGGTAACTTAACAAATGATTCATAAATGAAAGAGGATGAAAATATTTTAAACTTTTAAAATCAACAATTGAATTCATTATTTCAGTGTTTTTAAAGAATCTTTTTAAACAAGTCGTACACACAGACTTGGTAGGTTACAAGAGTTGGTTAATAAATTAAAGAATTTTTTAATACTACAGGTAGTTTTCATTGCTTTCTAGTTCTGCTTATCTTAGACAATGACCTAGACCATTATTTGAATTGAAGACAAACTTATGTTCTGTAGTAGAAATCCGTATAGCTTATTTCCAAATAAACATTTCATAGTGTAACTATTAACTTTAAACGTTGTATTTATCAAATTCTGATATGTTCGTCACTAGGTATGCTTGAAGCTATTACGAGTTCACCTTAGTCGATAAACGCGAACAAGACAATGAACCAGAGTCTAGATAGGCTACCTTGAATCCCAAATCGCAAAACAGAAGAGTTAATAAGCGTAGAAAGTATATTCTACAAACACCCAGCAATCATAATGCAATCAAGCACACAACTCTCGTTTATTTATACATCATAGAAACGTCCTTGAGATAGTTACGAAAATAGCACACTGAAATACACAGCAGCCAATCAAAACATCCCCAACAAATTCATAGTGTTGATCCTATCCTATTTTTCAACGTGCACTATGGTAATCATCTTAACTAACTAAATTGCATTTGATTGTTTATTTTTCTAGCGATTATGTTACGTTGCCTTACATGGATTTTGGTAGTACTTAATGGTACTTAATAGTACTGAATACATATTCGATATCACTTAGAATGCTTGACCACTACGTTGGTTTGAAATTCATTGAAGAGTTACAAAGTTACCGTTGAACGAAAGTAAAGTTTCAGACTTTATAACCCGAATAATTCAATAAAATGTTTATATGAGTAAGTAAAATGTCACAAAACCAGTGTCAGATAGAAAGAATTGTCATCAGAATAGCAATTCGCCCGTATATGATAAAAAAATATAAAAAGCTGAAAACGATAGATTTTACGCATCTATTATCATAGCACAGAAAAAAAAGGAAATACAAATGTTCACTTATTTGTCAATAAAAATGTTGAATTTTCGGTAACAACACAAAATTAAATTTTGTTATATCATGCTACTGAATTATCGCAAGTAGATAAATAACTTTGAATTAATTTTTCCAACTTTTTGTATATGGAGAAATATGATGAGAAAATCAACAATCTTCACATTTGGTAGATTGTAGATTTAAGTCAGGTTTCTCTGATGAAGTAGTTTTAAGCTTTTCTGCCCTTATCCAATTACGAAAACGTTGACTGCTCCCACTGTTATTACTGGTAGTGAGCGTGAAAATACTTGTCCATTCACATGTTGTTGCTGCTTTTCTTTTCAGATTACTAGTAGTTGTAAATGTAAGAGCGGCTCCTTGAGCACTACTAACTAAGCTAGCTACACGTCCAATTAGTGGGGTATCAGGTAAAAGGCTAGCCAATATTTGAAATATCCAGACAATGCCTAAAATAATCGATAGATTAAAGCATATTTTTAACATTTTTCGACTATGTTTCGGAAAATCAGTGCTGTCTGCTTCACTCGCCACATCTGATGATAAATTTATTTCGTTTTGACTGAGAAACCAAATGTGAGTGCCAACGATGATCAATACAATACAGTTGAATGCTAATAAAATTGTAGTTGGTGCTAGAAACCATAAGAAAAATGCTTCATTTATTGTAAACCATGGTCTAGTACAGTCTTCTGGAGGACAAAATCCCGGTGTCAAATAACTTAATATTTTTTGAGTTTTTGTACATATTGACTCATCTATCTCATTATCCAATAATTTAGCAACATACTGTTCTTGAATACATTCGTTTGGATAGACTGTTTCATTGATGATTATAGCTGGTGTCACAAAACAGAATGGTAGGATGATTGAAAGTAATGAAGAAAGAATGATACTTTTCGGTGAATTGGAACCACTACGTTTTGCCGACTGAATAACCATGCTCTAAAAAAGAATAAGAGAGAAATTCAGTAACAGTTTAAAATAGGTAAGGATGAATTGAGAACATTATGATGTAATGTTTTACGCTCTTCATATTTATTGCAAATGAGCATTCTGTTATCGAAATCCATAGTAAATATCTAAAATTCAAAATCGTCTATTGAAATGATGATAAAAATACATCAGAACTATTCTACTGTGTGATAAAACTTTAAAATCGAGAGAGAATATCAATTTCCTAGAAATCAGATATATAATTATCTAACGAGTCTCAACTAATGAAAGCTAGATGAAGTGGCTATATTCAAATGCAGAATTTTGAATGAATCTCAAAGACTACTGATCATTCATGCATTACTGAAGCGAAATTCTTATTATTTTATATGTCACAATAAATAATGATTGAATGTTTCAACATAAGTTAAACTTGCTACTAGTAAACAGCAGAAGAAAAGTTGAAAAATTTAAAGAACCAGAACTTTAACTGAACATTTGATATCCATTAATTTTTGTGATGATGAAATTAAAAACAAAAGATTAGAAAAAATTTGGAAAATTTTTCCTGTCGAGAAACAAACGTCAATCGTCTCATTTCGGATAAAACAGAGAGAAAGATTTCAAGTTTTTTTTTAAAGTCAGTACAATCTAAGTACCTGGAGCGATTTTAAGATATAAAATAGACTTATATGAACTTGAAAAACTGAAGCATTGAAATAACATTTCAACAATAATTCATTATGCGATTGGGGGTGGAAAGTATTCAGTGGCGAAGTTTGATTCTCAAGAAAACAGATTTATCGCACGACAATGTAATAAAACTCATTCTTAGGAAATTTAGTGAAATTAACAAATTCACACCGTAACTCGGTGTGAAGATATAAATTAACAAAACGTAAACACGGTCATCCTGAGGTCTCTTTAACTAGAGGAATAATTACCCATCTTTTTCAAATATTTTTTGCTATCAACAAACGATCAAACTTCTCAATATTAAGTTTTTTATATGGTATAAACCTTTAGTTTGCTTAGCTTTAATTAGATGTAATACAAATCGAGTATAATATCCTCAGAAATGCTGTAATATTAAAATCCATCCCCTACATTGTGCTGTTCTTCATAGGTGAATAAAGTAGTTTTATTGTTAATCAGGGATTGAACTAGCATTGAGTGGACCTTTTTATCAAGGTGCTGTAATTAAATGAAATCTACGTTTGAAAATAAATTAAAATAAAAGATAAAAGAGTTTGTTACATTCCGTTGTTTAGAGGCTCATACAATAGAATCTTCTGGGAAGTTCTAATTAATCTACAAGCAATAAATATTTAATAAATTTGTGTTGGTTTTGTGCAACTCAACAGTGTTCACTCCCGATATCAAAAGAGAGATAAATGCAGACTTAAAGGTTTTGCAACAAGAACAATGCTATCACTAGATAGAGTGGCAATCCAGTTTGCATCATTCAACTATTTTTTGTAATTTATGATATGATGAGATCAACCTATGCCATTGTTCAGTTACTATCTCACATTCGGCTTAGATGACTCTGCAGAGTAATGCTTCCTACTAAAACCTAGAAATATTCATGAAGGAACGAGTCGCCAATTATTTCTATTGTATTTACCAAGCTATATGTTTATTTCCACACATACATTACTGCAGATATCAATGTAACTAGTTAACATTACTTATCTTTCACAGAAAATACTTTAAAATCAAAAATAGGAGTAATGTAAGGATGACCTTCACAAAAATGAACAAAAGTAAAGTGAATTTTCTTGAAACAAAAGACATATTAAATTAATGCACCTTTTCCTTACCTATTTTGAATGCATTTATACTTCAAATTCACTTTCCTACAACGAATCATACTATGAATGTCAAGGACAATGTAGATAGGTATTGTGCCTAATTAACTATTCTTTTTTTTTCATTACCTTTTATTGATTTCATTCGATCTTTTTTTGTATCGTTTCACATTTAAATATCATGCGAAATTGATATATTTTCCGTCTATGTACAATGTTTTATGCAAATATGTCTGATAGTTCAAACAGATATCATTTTCGCATTAAGCTGAATGTCTGTTGAAAATATATCTTTGATTTATTTCGCATATTAGATAGATTTAAAATATAAGTTACATGAAAATTATACATAAATCTCGTTCTGTCCTGAAGAATGTACATGGCATCGATGATGCTACGTAATATCAAGGCTGAATTTACCCACCGGATGGATGATGACCGTCCAGTACTGTGAATTGAATAAAGTCAGACAATAAAACCGTTGGATGTTAACTCAGTGGTGTATAGATTGTGTTCGCGCACAATATCAATGGTCCTAATTTCGATTCCTTACTTGTGAGTCATGGGTGAATACGGCTGGCGAGTCCCCTACTAGTACGAAGCAACTATCCAGTGCTTCCAGATTTTTCATAGTGGTCAAAACTTGGTCGGTTCACGGGATCAATAAAACAGATAATAATCGATTTGTTTTGATGTACTAATCAGTCATTAATTTGGTTGCAGTTAATGTTTTTTCACAGCAGGGAATTAAGATACCATAAAAGATCTTAAAAAAATAGTTTCATGCACAAACATCAACATTATTATTGACCAATCCGATTCAAGTTACACTGGCATTATAGTCACAGTAGATTTCAAATTGTACGAATGAATAAATACTACGCAAAGATTTAGAATCTAAATACTTATAATTTAAAATTTTGAGCATATTTTACACCTACTAATGATTTAAAATAGGAATTTATCATGTTATACACAAATTCTGTGTACAATTTTTAAATAATAGAAATGTATGATTTGATTTGTTCAACATGACCGGAAGTTGAAAACTTGAAGCATAATTATTTCATTGGTATGGGCTATCGCAAAGATATTATAAATATGGTGAATAACTTCCGGCCAATTGAGATATCTTACCATATATACTACTTACTAATTATTCAGCAATGAATAATTAGTGGAAAACAATGTTTCACATGCAGTGTTTAAGAAAACTGTAAATTTCAAGAAAAAACCTCCAAATATAATGCATTTTATGAACATGCAAATGTATCATTTGTTTTTCCCTAAATCCTCTAGTTTAAAAAAAAATGAAAAGAAATGTATGTTCATTTTCCAAGGAAGATATTTTACATTTTGTTACAGTCAGAAAATTCATTATGAGAATTTTTCTACATTTTTTTCAAGTTTTTTTGCGCGTGACTCTTTTTGATACAAAGCTATTTTAGGCATTTTAATCGATTTGTATTGTATCGTTCTCCGGTAGATTATAGTGAATAAAGTGTATTTAGTAAGTTAACAACAAAGCTATACCATAGATAAGCTACATTATGAACTATTCCTATAAACAACCAATCAAGATTGATAAACGTAAATGAATGTAATCTTTGAAGCTATTTTAAACCGTTATCTGTGGACGTATCACTAAACCATGTAGTGTACTAACTAACTCATTCAGAAAAGGAATTCTTTTTGATATTGTTGAGTATGTTTCATATAGATCCTCGCATATTTTCCCATTTATTAGCAGAACTGGATAATGGCTAGCAGTGGGATTCAAGGACATCTGTTTCGTCCTGTTTGCGATTCATCAGCTGGATGTACCTGCATCTCACAGTTGATATTCAAAACAACCAATGCAAACGAATCGGTTTTCTTATTTATTTTAATCATGGGTTACAAAATGAATAATGGATTTCTGTTAGAATTATGCAACAGAAGTGATATCTTTGATTAACAAAGAACTGTAGCTTTATAGCAATATCTCCAATTGATATGTAGCGTGAAAAGTAAAAACAATTATCTTATCAATTTTCTAGACAGTTGTTATTCTCAGTCGAACAAATAAACACATTTTAAAATTATCCAAATTTCTCTGCATACTGTGAGAGTGATTATCAGACATGTGAAAAAAAACGATGTGAATAATTTTATTCGAACAGCTGATCAAATATTTTTTTGTTAGATGTATTTTTGTTTGCACAAAGTATGATATTGACTTTTACATTGTAACAGTATGCATTTATTAAAAGATTATGTTTTTTTTTCCACGCTTAGTGAATTCAAATTAACTGAATGTTTAAAATTTTACTGATATACGTTTAAGAGAATAAATAGGAGAGGGAATCAATTCGAATTCTTTCAGTGAGCCTATAGGTAGAACAAAGATTTAACCATACTATTAGTATTGTGTTATTTTTTAGGGTGATTCAATATAACAACGAAGAATGAAATGATAGTGACTTAATCCAATGAATTAAGATGATACAAGCCAAATTGTGAGACTCGTTTATTCGAAACCGACTTTAAACAGTGTTATTATTGAAGTAAACAACTCAGGGCGTCAGTTATGCGTGTGACTGTAATCCTACTACATGAAACCATCAGTCATCAGTGATTTACATTTATTTGGTAGTTAATACTAAGAAATTCCCTTTATTCTTGGATGAAATGGGTAAAACTAGTAATTAAATTATCACACCAATACATTTATTTTATTGGTTTGTTTGAAGAGGAAATTGCAAATTTCCTAAAATATGATTTCTAATTCTGTTAGACTAAAATGAACCATTTGATCTATGGAATTGCTAAATTTTTTTTAACATTGTTTGCAGTACATAGTTATGTATTTTCATCTCTAACGAAGATTCCGAAATTATTTATTACTTCATTTATAAAATATATTTTTAAACGGTATTCATTAACAATAAGATGATGAATTAAGCCTTTTAGTAAGTAGAGAAAGTCTTAATTTTATCGATCATTCGGTAAAACTAACTTGGTGTTTAAAACACATTCCACAGATCTCGAATTCAAACAATGATCTACTTAATTCAATTTCAGTAATCCTATGGTAAAATTAACTATCAGATAAACAGTGTCGGTCAAAAGCGAGTTCATATATATTTACTTACTTAAATAGTATAATTATTTCTAAAAATTGATATTTAAGAAGTCATCAATTATTATTCACTGTTT